GTCTTGGAAGGAAGGAGAGAAAGAGTGGATGTGGGGCCTGGGGTGTGTTCCAGCCAGAGAATACTCCCTCTCTTCTTGCTTTGTCAGGCCTCTTTAATATTGTGACAAATTAGAGTCACTGGAGTCTGAGGCAATGCCATGTGGGGGGGACTCTGTGTTCAGCATGTGTGGGTGTGTGTGTATGTGTGTGTGCGTGCATGCTTCTATGTGTGTGTGTGACTGAGTGTGACTGAGTGAAAAAAAGAAAGGGAGGGGGAAGGCAGCAAGAGGAGCAAAGGGAGGAACAGCTAGAGGAAGGAAATGTGTTTTTGTGAGAAAGAATACGGGCTTGTGTTTGTGAGGGAAGGGAGTGCATGAGGGAGCAAAGCACTGCAATGTGTGCCAGGGTAAGCGGGTGTGGATGTGTCAGGATTTTTATGGGATTGAGAGGGTGTGAGGCAAAAACAGAGAAAGACGGAGGGAGTCAGGGCAAGAGGGAGAGATAAAAGAGTGAAAGGGAGGATAGGGAGAATGGATAGTGTATATATTTTTATTTTTGTATTTATGGACTGTAGCTCCGATGCAGCATGTATTACTAGGAGGGGGTTAACTATGGATGTACAGTACAGTATTTATGTAAACTCAGCAAAAAAAAGAAACGTCCTCTCACTGTTAACTGCGTTTATTTTCAGCAAACTTAATAATTATAATAAATAATTGGTCATTTAGCAGACGCTCTTATCCAGAGCGACTTACAGGAGCAATTAGGGTTAAGTGCCTTGCTCAAGGGCACATCGACAGATTTTTCACCTAGTGGGCTCGGGGATTAGAACCAGCGACCTTTCGGTTACTGGCACAACGCTCTTAACCACTAAGCTACCTGCCGCCCATGTGTAACTTAACATGTGTAAATATTTTTATGAACATAAAAAGATTCAACAACTGAGACATAAACTGAACAAGTTCCACAGACATGTGACTAACAGAAATTGAATAATGTGTCCCTGAACAAAGGGGGGATCAAAATCAAAAGTAACAGTCAGTATCTGGTGTGGCCACCAGCTGCATTAACCTCTTCATCACTTGGCACCTGGCTAAAGTGCCTGCCTCGAAAATGCATGCCCAAATTGAATAGAGTATATCTCCAAAACATGATCTTGGTAGCAAAAGAAAAGGTAACACATGTGAGATGCATCTTGAAGTGAAATAATTAATGTGGGTATTACTGTGTCAGAGTACATGAAGCTACAACACAGCATAAATTGGGAGGTTTTGATTCCGCCTGAAAGTAACTTCAGGTTTTATAGGGAATGCTTTATTGGACTTATGCAGCTGCAGCCCCTAAACACTATGGGACCATAGCCCAATATCTGATGAGTACTTATGTGAAGTTTGATGCCAATAAAGTAAAGTAAACCAAAGTTGTAGGGGTTTTAGTTGAAGTATGTTTAGGCGGATTACCAAATGGAGACATTTGGATAGATTTGGGCACCATCAGTGCCATTTGACTTTTATCAGGTACCAGACAGCAAAAGTCATTCAATTTCACTAACATATCACTGTATGTGTACATTCCATCAAAATACAACTGTTTTGATGTTGTTTCCAATGTTCTCCCAGACCTCTATACGTGTTGACTAAAGTGATCATTCGGTGACAAGAAATAATACACATAGCATTCTATTGTAAGTAAACGTGCGTGTGGGCCTCTACTTAGCCAATAAAAGTGTTATCGTACAATAAACATTGTGATCCTTGCAGGACTAGCTAGCTAGCTACATTCATTCTATATATTTGATTAACTGAAGCTCAACGTAAATTACCGCTAGTTTAGGTAACTAGCTAGCTAGCTTAGCTCGCTAGCTAGCTTAGTTTAGCTTGCTAGTTTAGCTAGCAAGCTGAGTAGGGCCCTGGACACGATAACCTTCGTTCTCGTCATTGGGGTCTGGTTAATCTGGTCTAAGCAGGTCCTCATCGTCCGATTCAGAGTCAATGGGGATACATGGAGTCCAACTTTCATCTGTTACAATTGCTAACGCCTCTGTAACTGTATATTTCTTACTAGAGCCTGCCATATTTTTAGAAACCTTGCGTTTTCCCTCCGAAATTCAAGTGCTGTTGTGCGCTCTGCGTAACCATGCTTAATGCAGCAAGTCAACTAATGTGATACAATGAGCTGCGCACATGGATATTTCAACAACCGGTTGGTCGATTTTGACATGTGACCCCTCTATCGAAAGTTCTGGATCAGTAGAATTAGATTAGCACAATTGCAAGCCACTGGGATTGCATTATATATCCAGAAGATGGCGACAAAACAGTGCCTGTTGTGATTGAAACAAAATACTGATTCATCTTCAAACACATTCTTGGCCATGTAAAACAATGTAAACTCATTGAAATCGACTCGGAATGAGAGAGAGACACTAGAGTATCTTTTCAAGTTGTTTTATTCGATCAGACACTACTTTGGTAACAAAAACAACAAAGGTAAGACGCAGTTTGTTGTTGTGATAAATAAAATGATTAATAGTTTAGTGTTGGTCATAGAGGAACACGGCTATCACTGTTGGAATCTGTGAGGTAGCAGCTTTCGAATGGTGTATCGTTTGTGTAAATAGGTTGAGAAAAATAAGTTATCTGTCTATGAATATACGAGCATGCACGGTTTCAAAATACAGTACTGGTTTTGCTATATGCTTATATATTTGCTTGGAGTCTGAATATTATTTTATTTGGGCAACAACAGTTTAGCTAGATTCACAGTTGAGACGCTTCTCGTTCCAGTAGTGTATCACATTCAGGTATTCACACGTTTTTAAAAACCGTACTACGTCATTGTTTGAGATTGCGGGAGGATATGGGGAACCTCGGGCTGAAGAGGTTAAGTACTGTAGTGCATCTCCTTCTCATGGACTGCACCAGATTTGCCAGTTCTTGCTGTGAGATGTTACCCCACTCTTCCACCAAGGCACCTGCAAGTTCCCTGACATTTCTGGGGGGAATGGCCGTAGCCCTCACCCTCCGATTCAACAGGTCCCATACGTGCTCAATGGATTGAGATCCGGGCTCTTCGCTGGCCATGGCAGAACACTGACATTCCTGTCTTGCAGGAAATCACGCACAGAACGAGCAGTATGGCTGGTGGCATTATCATGCTGGAGGGTCAGGATGAGCCTGCAGGAAGGGTACCACATGAGGGAGGAGGATGTCTTCCCTGTAACGCACAGCGTTGAGATTGCTTGCAATGACAACAAGCTCAGTCCGATGATGCTGTGACACACCGCCCCACTGACCTCCTGAGTGGCGCAGTGGTCTAAGGCACTGCATCGCAGTTCTAACTGTGACACTAGAGATCCTGGTTCGAATCCAGGCTCTGTCGCAGCCGGCCGCGACCGGGAGACTCATGGGCGGCGCACAATTGGCCCAGCGTCGTCCAGGGTAGGGGAGGGAATGGCCGGCAGGGATGTAGCTCAGTTGATAGAGCATGGCGTTTGCAACGCCAGGGTTGTGGGTTCGTTTCCCACGGGGGGCCAGTATAAAAAAAAAAAAAAAAAAAAAAAAATGTATTCACTAACTGTAAGTCGCTCTGGATAAGAGCGTCTGCTAAATGACTAAAAATGTTTTAAAAAATGTACAGGCCTTGGTGTAACGCTCATTCCTTTGACGATAAACGTGAATCCGACCATCACCCCTGGTGAGACAAAACCGCGACTCGTCAGTGAAGAGCATTTTCTGCCAGTCCTGTCTGGTCCAGCGACAGTGGGTTTGTGCCCATAGGCGACGTTGTTGCCGGTGATGTCTGGTGAGGACCTGCCTTACAACAGGCCTACAAGCCCTCAGTCCAGCCTCTCTCAGCCTATTGCGGAGAGTCTGAGCCCTGATGGAGGGATTGTGCGTTCCTGGTGTAACTCGGGCAGTTGTTGTTGCCATCCTGTACCTGTCCCGCAGGTGTGATGTTCGGATGTACCGATCCTGTGCAGGTGTTGTTACACGTGGTCTGCCGCTGCGAGGACGATCAGCTGTCCGTCCTGTCTCCCTGTAGCGCTGTCTTAGGCATCTCACAGTACGGGCATTGCAATTTATTGCCCTGGCCACATCTGCAGTCCTCATGCCTCCTTGCAGCATGCCTAAGGCACGTTGACTCAGATGAGCAGGGACCCTGGGCATCTTTCTTTTGGTGTTTTTCAGAGTCAGTAGAAAGGTCTCTTTAGTGTCCTAAGTTTTCATAACTGTGACCTTAATTGCCTACCGTCTGTGTCTTAACAACCGTTCCACAGGTGCATGTTCATTAATTGTTTATGGTTCATTGGACAAGCATGGGAAACAGTATTTAAACCCTTTACAATGAAGATCTGTGAAGTTATTTGGATTTTTACAAATTATCTTTGAAAGACAGAGTTTATGTGTCTAAGTGAGTGTGCGCGCATGCGTGTGTGTGTGCGCGCATGCGTGTGTGTGTATATATGTGTACAGTACTGTGTATAGCGTGCTCCTCTGTGAGTCCAGGTGTCAGCGGGGAGCTCTCCTTTCAACCTTTAGGCAGGGGAAGCTAATGTGGATGCAGTGAGGTGTGCAGTGAGCAAAGCCTGCCTGATGTAGTGCAGGCTCAGCTGACCCCCCCAGGGGACCCCCTGTGTCAGCAGCCCTCTCTCTTACTCCATCTACACTGTAGTGTACAACAACACTGTAGTGTATAACCAGCCTTACCAGGCTGACCCAATCCCCACAGCACAGCAGCAACGGCACGGCAACATAAGCTACCCTGTCTGTGATCCACATACACATACTCCTGTAAGCCAGGCCCAGCTCATTCTCTGAGAACTGCAGTACCAGCAAAGCTGCACAAGCCAGCAAGGCTATAGGACAGTACATCAAGCTAGGCTGTCTAGGAGCTACAGCCCCATAGCATTGGGCAGCAGTTTCAGCTGTGTTTGTGCTGATGTCTGTTTTATTGACCGTAGGGCTACATGAAGAGTCAGGAGAGGGCAGAGTTGAGGGGAATTGAGGAGGCTAGTATACTACAGCTGTATTACTCTATGCTGGGCAGCAATGAGCATGGTGAGAAAAAGAGGTCTGACCTGTACATAGAGGAGGTTGAGCTGGACAGGGTCTCGTGAGTCCACATTCTGGTCGGAGTAGAAGAACTTGCGTCTGAGCAGCAGCATCTCACTCTCCTCCACCCCCTGCTCTCTGAATGTCCGGCTGTGGTCCAGCCAGTTCACTGGCAACAGAAAAAGAAAAACACACTCACGTACGTATACAGAGAAACATACACTTCTGCTACTGGGATTGGGCATGCTGACAGTCAAATAAGCAGATAGGTCTAGATAATAAATAATGACAGAACAGACAAAAAGTCTGTTTTACTTTTTTATGTCTAAAAACAAACTAATTAATCATGACCAAGTGAAGTTCTCGACTGAACATGAGGGCAGTAATTTGCATACTGTTCTGCTAAAGATAGATTTTGTGACAGTTTGAAGATGATTTATGAATTAAAACTTTTCAGAATAAAATGTCTGTCCAGGGAGTTTCATAACATTCACGGCTCAGTCCTGAAGACCAGGGGCTAAGGGGTTTGCCGGTCCGAGAAAGAAATGGCCTTTTCTAAAATCATTTCCTGCAATTCTACATTAATTTTACATGACTGATAATACAAAAATATATATATATACACCACACAAAATGACAAGCTACTCTGATATTGACATACTGAGATCAATAAAATTAACGACCCATGTCTTAAATGCAACAAATAGCATAGGCCAATGAAAAGAGTGGATACACAGATCTTAGACCTACAATATGAGGAAATTATAGTCCAGCAACTTTCCAGTGGCACTCATTTATCCAAACAGTTTTTCCTTCAATTGTATTTTGAAATATTGCAAAATACCTTTTAGCTGCTGCCTGCTGTTCATTGACATCCACATTGACAGCCATAACTCGACAATCAGCTGTTTGATATTTGCGGCGCGGGCTGCCCAATTGCGGGATTCCCGACTGTAGGCTTACGCGCTCATAATGTGACAAAACTCAATCTACAGCAATTTTTTTAAAGAAGCTATTGATCTTCTGTGGCTAAATGATGCTCTCTGGTGTAGTATTTTCAATGATTTCCTTTATTTCTGCGGCGCTAGGTTTTCTTCCATGCACTCTGCTCTCCCCAAGGCCAAATAATCAACACTTCTTATTAATAATTCAATGGATTGTGGTCAGTAACCCCATATGAGGTTATTGTGTAGGTAGGCCTACTGGTACAATAATATTTAAAATAATGTATCAGAAAGTAGCCTACCCTACAATTACAAAATAATAAATTCAGTAAGTCAATGAAGCTAATAGTGGTTTCAGCTAAACTGTTATTGAAACAATGTAGGCCTTATTACCCTTTTAACCAATAAGAAAATATGTCAATGACTTAAATAGCTTATGGGAAAAGTGTAAAAATGTGCATTTGGATCAGTAGGCTGTGACTGAAATGCATCAGAAGATTATTGAAAAGTTCAGGAAAACATCAGGGAAGCTCATCAGGTAGGCTATTGGCCTAATGTGTGTGTGGAGAAGATCTGCATTGCTTTCAATTGCTAGACTAATGATCATGAGAACTCACATCAACTTAGCTAACACTTCCCAGCCTAATTGTAAACAAATATCCAAACGAAGATTCAGTGAAAAAAATTATCGGACATTGATTGATTTATCAAGATGAGTTCCCATACTTTTCTCAAAGCAGCGCAATGATGCTGTCCCAATCAAAACGGTGCTGGAATTATCAGTTGACCACACATGGCAATTGCTTTTCATGTATTATAACCAGTGGTGTAGTGCAATTTTGTTAGGTAGCCTACCGGAGCACACTTTTTTATTATTATTACGTCATGAAAGTTGGTACCAACATGTAGCCTATTGTGTAAAATCATTTTAGAATATACATACAATGCGTCATTCAAATTGCACAATTGCCTATGCCTACACAGAAGTGGGTCAATGAAAATGTTCTATTTTTTTAAATCCTAAAACATCAAATAAGGCCTACCTTATTATAAATTAGGCAATCATCACTGACAATTGTGAATGATAATTATTCACATTTTACAGGCGAAACGTCCATGCTGCATGCATGCCAACTATTTGATCCCAATCAGTATCATGGGAAAATGCATTTCGATCTTCTTGAATGATGTAGGCTAAGTAGCCTAACTAATGTTTAATCAAATTCTAGAGCAGATGGAGTTAAACACAGCCACCTGTATTTTGTTTCAATCAAAGCATATGGCGTGTACTGTTGAGTTCTGTCCTCATGAGAAAGAAAAAGCAACATTTCAGCACAATCATCTTATTGTCATAAGAAATGACGTGTTGCTTTTGGTCTAACAGTAGCCTAACATTATCTATGCTATTATATTCGGTTTGTTATGTAGAACACTAATTAATCATTAAGTGATGTTGCGAGACATAGTCACTCTGTTGCAAGCACTATACACCCCTTATTATAACAATTGGATGACTTCAGGAGTTTCACCTAATCACAGCTTTATGAACTAAGCGGCTCATTCAGTTGACAATTCTTTTTTTTTTACACCATCACAGCAGTGCAAAAGATTCAGGGCTGACCCAAAATCATTCGGGGCTATAGCCCCGAAAGCCAGGTCCTGGTGACGTCCCTGTTTCTGTCACATGGTGGTAAGATAAAAATTTGAATTTAATTAAACATTGATACAGTACTATAAAGCACATGTTAAAATGAGATGATACTGGACTTACATGTATTTATTAATGAGAGATAGCTAGGGAGGTTGACTGGGAGCATGTAATACTGGACTATTAACAACACATTTTGGGTTCTTTTGGAAGTGCTCTTCAAACTCACAGTCATCGTCTGTGTGGAGTTTGGCTTTGAGCTTCTCCATCTTCCTCTCGTCTCGGAGCAGAGTCCTGTCCTTCTTCAGGGTGCCTGTCCCATGACCATCCTCCTTCTTCTCCTCCACCCCCTCCTGGAGCAGGGAGTACTCCTCGTAGTTGGTGATTCCTGAAAGGAGACACAGCCAGGAAACTCTCAGAGAGGGAGCAGTCTAGAGCATAGAGCCAGCACTTTGAGCTGTGCCATATCAGAGCACCATCCCCTGCCTCTTCCGTCCTCCCTCTCTACCTCCCTCTGCCCAGAAAAAAGAGTGGGGGAAACTGGAGAGCAGCCAGAAAACTAAAGTGGGAATTCATAAGAGGAGAAGCCAAGCAGAAAGCCCTCTCTAAACAAACACCAGCCAATAAATAGATCAAACAGACGTCTCTCTTCTCCTCACCCAATTGAGTTTGGGCACACGCAGCCCAGCGTAATTGAAATATATGGCTGTGGGAAGGAACACCTCCATGAGAGGAGAGGACAGTACAGTCTATGGCTTCACAATTACCACCCATAATTTCAACAGAGGGGAAAAATACGTTTTACACCATCAAACATATCTAAATGATATAAAACCTGGACTATGCCAGTACCATAGCTAATTGTCATGTTCTGAAAGGTAGGGGATGTGCATCCATACTGTAAGGCAGATGCTGTAACAGTGAGCTAAAAATAGGACCATGTTTAATAATTTAAGGCTAGTGGTTGACTGGGTCTCGTCCAGTTGGAGAGAGGTTACCCACCTATTCTACTGCATATGGTAACAAGCAGCTCTCCCACGGTTTTAGAGTCATCCACCATGATAGTTTTAACTGCCCCGTCCAGCATCTTGATCTTCTGGGGCCTCTGTTTCTTTTTGTACTCCAAGACATCCTGAGAAACAAGGGGAGAGAGGAATCAGACGCATTACCTTTGATGGAATGTGACATAAACCAAGAAGAGAACACCTAAACATCTGTATGTAAGTAGAAAATCTAAGTCAGATCTTCCACAGACTTCTCAACACTGCTTCAGATTTAAATAGAACTGAGTGAGGTGTGGTCCAGGGGTCTGATTGGGCTCTATGATTGGGCTTTACCCCGTTCCGGAGCATGTAGTAATCCAGAGTCCTCCCAGACTCCAACCAGATTCCTTTTCTGGGATCATCATCAGAGAGAAACAGGCCGTAATCAGAGGCTGAAACAGAGACACAGAGAGAACTTACGTATATTAGAGAAATAATGGGAACAGTTGCTTGATTGACTGTTTAAATAGTATGAGCCACCAAAGAGTACACATGTTGCTGGCTGTCCAAATGAAAGATACTACTGTCTATTTTGACAAAACAATGTTTTGACTGCATCTCATGTAGATACTGTTTCATGATGCAGAGGATGCCTCTTATTCTGATCTCATTGACATTCCTATGAATAATCCATATAATGACATTCAGTTGGGAAAGAAGGGTATCATGGCTGCACATCAGACTCTCTAGCTGATATACATCTGTTCTAAAGCCTAATGAGAGCTCACAGCTTAAAAAGCCTCTCCAGCCTGACTATCTAACACCACAGAGAGCCTCTCCAGCCTGCCTAACTGACACCTCCGCAAGGGAGGAACACCGCCCACAGACCCAGATCGAACCAGTCTCCTCAGACAGAGAGCATAGACTGTAAGGCTTTGAAACTGTTTCCTGTCTTTCTGTAGTCAGAAAGCCATGCTGTGCGTGACATGGGGTTTTATCTCCTGCTTAAACAGCTCTGAACCGTTTGTATCATTTTCATGCACTCTGAAACAGAACTGGAGATCAGACACTCTAATGCCTTGTTTTACATTACAATTTAGACATTTTTTTTAGCAGATATGACTACAGCATTCAGTACAGAGCGACTTACACAAGTAATTACAGTGAGGGAAAAAAGTATTTGATCCCCTGCTGATTTTGTACGTTTGCCCACTGACAAAGACATGATCAGTCTATAATTTTAATGGTAGGTTTATTTGAACAGTGAGAGACAGAATAACAACAACAAAAATCCAGAAAAACGCATGTCAAAAATGTTAGAAATTGATTTGCATTTTAATGAGGGAAATAAGTATTTGACCCCCTCTCAATCAGAAAGATTTCTGGCTCCCAGGTGTCTTTTATACAGGTAACGAGCTGGGAAATAAGTATTTGACCCCTCTGCAAAACATGATTTAGTACTTGGTGGCAAAACCCTTGTTGGCAATCACAGAGGTCAGACGTTTCTTGTAGTTGGCCACCAGGTTTGCACACATCTCAGGAGGGATTTTGTTCAACTCCTCTTTGCAGATCTTCTCCAAGTCATTAAGGTTTCGAGGCTGACGTTTGGCAACTCGAACCTTCAGCTCCCTCCACATATTTTCTATGGGATTAAGGTCTGGAGACTGGCTAGGCCACTCTAGGACTTTAATGTGGTTCTTCTTGAGCCACTCATTTGTTGCCTTGGCCGTGTGTTTTGGGTCATTGTCATGCTGGAATACCCATCCACGACACATTTTCAATGCCCTGGAGGTTCTCACCCAAGATTTGACGGTACATGGCCCCGTCCATCGTCCCCTTGATGCGGTGAAGTTGTCCTGTCCCCTTAGCAGAAAAACACCCACAAAGCATAATGTTTCCACCTCCATGTTTGATGGTGGGGATGGTGTTCTTGGGGTCATAGGCAGCATTCCTCCTCCTCCAAACACGGCGAGTTGAGTTGATGCGAAAGAGCTCCATTTTGGTCTCATCTGACCACAACACTTTCACCCAGTTCTCCTCTGAATCATTCAGATGTTCATTGGCAAACTTCAGATGGGCCTGTATATGTGCTTTCTTGAGCAGGGGGACCTTGCGGGCGCTGCAGGATTTCAGTCCTTCACGGCGTAGTGTGTTACCAATTGTTTTTTGGGTGACTATGGTCCCAGCTGCCTTGAGATCATTGACAAGATCCTCCCGTGTAGTTCTGGGTTGATTCCTCACCGTTCTCATGATCATTGCAACTCCACGAGGTGAGATCTTGCATGGAGCCCCAGGCCGAGGGAGATTGACAGTTCTTTGTGTTTCTTCCATTTGCGAATAATCGCACCAACTGTTGTCACCTTCTCACCAAGCTGTGGACAGGTGTCTTTTATACAAGTAACAAGCTGAGATTAGGAGCACTCCCTTTAAGAGTGTGCTCCTGATCTCAGCTCGTTACCTGTATAAAAGACACCTGGTAGCCACAAATCTTTCTGATTGAGAGGGGGTCAAATACTTATTTCCCTCATTAAAATGCAAATCAATTTATAACATTATTGACATACGTACAAAATCAGCAGGGGATCAAATACTTTTTTCCCTCACTGTATGTAGTTTTCACATTTATTTTTTCTCTTAGTGCAACTGAGCCTCATGCAAGTGAAGATTTCTGACATTCAAAGAGGCCCCATTTACAGACATATGCCCCAATTTTTAGGCATCTCTCACCTTGGCCAGTCTGGGCTTCCGGAACCCTCTCCCTGATGATCCTGCAGGCGTCATACACTGGAGTGGAGGGCTCAAACTGCATGGTCTTCACCACATTGCACTGGCGGACACATATCTTGAGTGACAGGGCCACCATTTTCACTGGTGGTGTATTGGTATCATCAACCTACACACCTGAAAAACACAAACAGATCTGTTTAGATATCTGTGGCTCAGGGAAATGTGAATAGCATGACATTGGATATGTACATCAGAACAGCATACACAGGATATGGATATAATTGTCCTCAGGTACATTGTAGAAGTGCTGCTTTGAATGAGTAATGCATCAGCTAGTTTCCATCCCTCCCTATTTCTTAAAGGTTAAGAAATAAGTAGAATTGCTTACTGGCAGTGTTTAGCATATGCTGAGCTGAGCCAAGGTGAGCAGCATAACCTTTCAGCAGAAAGCAAATGTCTCTGTAATCAGCTACAATAATAGGACAGAAGATGCTACACAGAAAATGACATTGTAGAGCAGCATCATTATCTGTGTTGACCACCCCCCACCCCCACCCCTCTTTCCCTTAGCTGGGAGGGAAAACTGTTCACAATGGATCTCTCCAACAGTTAGGCCTCTCTCTTTTTTCCCCCGAATTTAGTTCAGCAATTATTTTCTCTACCCAGTGCACTGTCAAATCTGGATGACAAGACCATTTTCAGTCAACCCTCAATTTTCCCCTTTATGGTAGAGGGGGCGCATATCATTTATGTTAGATATACTGTACAGGGGAACACTGTATTATGGATAATATAAATTGACATTCACTATGTCCTTCTTGGGGACAAAGGTCATAAGTAAGCTGTACTTGTGAATCATCCAATTGACTCCATTAAGAGAAATATAGCCATGACAAAATGTTTCCCCATACAATCATTCTGTGAGCAATTTCAGAGAAAAAGTTTATAATGATGTGGTTGTGAATGAGGTCCCCTCTGACTAGCAGTCTTTCATAGTAGTGACTCTCCCCTGCTCCTGCAGCCCCACTTTTCTCTCCTGATAGGCCCTCAGCACAAAGAGCCAGAGGTAATGGCTCTGCATGGAACCTGCTCCATACAACCTGCCACAGGAGTCCTGCAGCGCCTTTGTGGCTCAGATGTGTGGTTAGTCTCTGTTATACAGGCCACATGTGGCCCAGCTAGCCCAGGCCACACACACACACACACACACACTTGCATACACAGGCATGTGTGCACACATAGAGGATGGGCTATGCCACACAAAGCCCTGATTCAGGGAAAATTATAAGGGCAGTAGGGTGTAACATGGCCTTTTACTATGTGGTGATATTCAAAAGTCTAAAGATGTATTTTGAAAGCAGGAACTGCACAGTATATTCCGTTGTGACCTTGGAATATATACATTGTAGGAGGAGGAGCTGAAGACAACCAGAATCATTCAATGGAACTCAGACAGCGCGTAAAGGATAGAACACCCGTTCCTTTCTATCAAGTTTTTGCTTTACAACCGTCAAAAGCTCAAAGCTCTGTCTAAAAGCACAAAGCTCCGCCATTTAGGCTTATGAGAATCAAATTAATATATGATGCATGAAAAATTATAACATTCCTGTTGTAGTCAATAAGGATATCATTTCATCAAAAAGACCTTGGGGAAAAAAAAGTATAATCAAATTATATTTGTCACATGCGCTGAATACAACAGGTGTAGACCTTACCGTGAAATGCTTACTTACAAGCCCTTAACCAACAATGCAGTTTTCAGAAAATAGAGTTAGAAAATATTTACCAAATAAACTAAAGTAAAAAATAAATAGAAAAACACAATAAAACAACAAAAACTAGGCTATATACAGGGGGTACCGGTACCGAGTCAATGTGTGGGGGTACAGGTAAGTCGAGGTAAATTGTACATGTAGGTAGGGATAAAGTGACTATGCACAGGTCAATGCAAATAGCCCGGGTGGCCATTTGATGAATTGTTCAGCAGTCTTATGGCATGGGGGTAGAAGCTGTTAAGGAGCCTTTTGGACCTATACTTGTAGCTCCGGTACCGCTTGCCATGCGGTAGCAGAGAGAACAGTCTATGACTAGGGTGGCTGGAGTCTTTAACAATTTTTAGGGCGTTCCTCTGACACCACCTGGTATAGAGGTCCTGGATGGCAGGAAGCTTGGCACCAGTGATGTACAAAGCCGTAAGCACTACCCTGTGTAGCGCCTTACGGTCAGATGCAGAGCAGTTGCCATACCAGGCGGTGATGCAACCGGTCAGGATGCTCTCGATGGTGCAGCTGTAGAAATTTTGAGGATCTGGGGACACATGACAAATCTTTTCAGTCTCCTGAGGGGGAAAAGGAATGGTCGTGCCCTCTTCACCACTGTCTTGGTGTGTTTGGACCATGATAGTTTGTTGGTGATGTGGACACCAAGGAACATGAAACTCTCAACCCGCTCCACTACAGCCCTGTTGATGTGAATGGGGGTGTGTTCTTCCCTCCTTTTCCTGTAGTCCACGATCAGCTCCTTTGTCTTGCTCCCATTGAGGGAGAGGTTGTTGTCCTGGCACCACACTGCCAGGTCTCTGACCTCCTCCCTATAGGCTGTCTCATCATTGTCGGTGATCAGGCCTACCACCGTTGTGTCGTCAGCAAACTTAATGATGGTGTTGGAGTCGTGCTTGGCCTCACAGTCGTGGGTGAACAGGGAGTACAGAAGGGGACTAAGCACCCACCCGTGAGAGGCCCCCGTGTTGAGGATCAGCGTGGCAGATGTGTTGTTGCCTACCCTTACCACCTGGGGGCGGCCCGTCAGGAAGTCCAGGATCCAGTTGCAGAGGGAGGTGTTTAGTCCCAGGGTCCTTAGTTTAGTGATGAGCTTTGTGGGCACTATGGTGTTGAACGCTGAGCTGTAGTCAATGAACAGCATTCTCACATAGGTGTTCCTTTTGTCCAGGTGGGAAAGGGCAGTGTGGAGTGCGATTGAGATTGCGTCATCTGTAGACATGTTGGGGCGGTATGCAAATTGGAGTGGGTCTAGGGTTTCCGGGATGATGGTGTTGATGTGAGCCATGAACCAGCCTTTCAAAGCATTGCATGGCTACCAACGAGAGTACTACGGGGCGGTAGTCATTTATGCAGGTTACCGTCGCTTTCTTGGGCACAGGGATTATGGTGGTCTGCTTGAAACATGTAGGTATTACAGACTCGGTCAGGGAGAGGTTGAAAATGTCAGTGAAGACACTTGCCAGTTGGTCCGTGCATGCTCTGAGTACACTGCTTGGTAATCCGTCTGGCTCTGCGGCCTTGTGAATGTTGACCTATTTAAAGGTCTTGCTCACATCGGCTACGGAGAGCGTGATCACACAGTCGTCCGGAACAGCTGTTGCTCTCATGCATGCTTCAGTGTTGCTTGCCTCGAAGCGAGCATATAAGGAATATAGCTCGTCTGGTAGGATCTCGTCACTGGGCAGCTATGCGGCTGGGTTTACCTTTGTAGTCCATAATAGTTTGCAAGCCCTGCCACATCCGACGAGCATCAGAGCCAGTGTAGTAGGATTCAATTTTTGTCCTGTATTGACGCTTTGCCTGTTTGATGGTTCGTCTGAGGGCATAGAGGGATTTCTTATAAGCGTCCGGATAAGTGTCCCGCTCCTTGAAAGTGGCAACTCTATCCTTTAGCTCGGTGCGGATGTGCCTGTAATCCATGGCTTCTGGTTGTGATATGTACGTACGGTCACTGTGGGGATGACGTCGTCGATGCACTTATTGATGAAGCCGGTGACTGAGGTGGTATACTCAATGCCATTGGATGAATCCCGGAACATATTCCAGTCTGTGCTGGCAAAACAGTCCTGTAGCGTAGCATCCGCATCATCTGACCACTGCTTTAGTTTTTGCTTGTAGGCAGGAATCAGGAGGATAGAATTATGGTCAGATTTGCCAAATGGAGGGCGAGGGAGAGCTTTGTACGCGTCTCTGAGTGTGGAGTAAAGGTGGTCTAGAGTTTTTTTCCTCTGGAAATTAGGAAAAACGTATTTAAGTTTGCCTGCATTAAAGTCCCCGGCCACTAGGAGCGCCGCTTCTGGATGAGCATTTTCTTGTTGTCACGAATTCAGCTGAGGCTGCCCCTCCTCCTTGCTCGGGCAGGTTTCGGCGTTCGTCGTCACCGGCTTACTAGCCAATACCGCTCCATTTATCATCACTCCATTTGTCTTGTCTTGTCTTGTCAATCACACACACCTGGTACTCATTCCCTCATTAGTCTGTGTATAAGTGTTCCCTCTGCCCCCCTTGTCCTTTGTGAGTGATTGTTCATTGTGAGAGTGAGTAGCTCGGTTGAGCTACTCTTTCCTTGTATGTAGCCAAGGTGGATTTTTCCCTTGTGCTTGTTTCGTTTTGACGCTTGCTGCGCTTTATTCATGTACACTGAATAAACTCTGGATTTTGGTGTTTTACCTCCTGCGCCTGACTCCGTCATTCACACCTCATCACACTTGTTTGCTTATGGCCTTATATAGCTAGTTGAGTGCGGTCTTAGTGCCAGCATTGGTTTGTGGTGGTAAATAGACAGCTACAAAAAATATAGATGAAAATTATCTTGGTAGGTAGTGTGGTCTACAGCTTATCATGAGGTACTCTACCTCAGGCGAGCAATCCCGAGACTTCATTAATATTAGACAGAGCACCAGCTGTTATTGACAAATAGACACACACCACCCCCCCTCGTCTTACTGGACGGAGCTGTTCTGTCCTGCCGAGGCACGGAAAACCCAGCCAACTGTATATTATCTGTGTCGTCATTCAGCCACGAGTCGGTGAAACATAAGATATTACAGTTTTTAGTGTCCCGTTGGTAGGATAGTCTCGAACGGAGCTCATCCAGTTTATTCTCCAGTGATTGCACGTTGGCCAATAGAACGGATGGTAGAGGCGGGTTACCCACTCGCTGACGAATTCTCACAAGTCACCTGGATCTGCACCCTCTCTATCTCCGTCTTTTCTTCATGCGAATGACGGGGATTTGGGCCTGGTCCGGGAGCAACAGTATATCCTTTGCGTCAGACACATTAAGAAAAAATCTTCGTCCAGTTCGAGGTGAGTAATCACTGTTCTGATATCCAGAAGCTCTTTTCGGTCATAA